GGCCCGTGCGACCGGTCCGCGCCAAGAGCTGTGCCGTGGCTCAATACTAGTTGTATAATGTCATAGTCGCTCCCGTAAAATGAAGGGGGCTACCGAATTTCTTCCAGCAGGGATTTCTTGCCAAAATGGTACCTGCAGAAAGGATTAAAAGTTAAATCCCAAGAAATGACGGCGCTCTTTCTGTCATTTCCCTACCTTTTAGTTAAGGCATGCAAAGAGCGTGCTACAAAGGACCGTAATAACGAGCCAATTTCGTTTAATTTTATTCCCGAAGAAATACGGGCATTTACTTGAAAACCGGGTTAGCGGTGGTGCTCGCTCGTCTTTCAGACGGAGGCGAAGCAGCCCTTATAAGGAAGACGACCGGCTCTGTGATCCATTCCCCCGATCAGTTTGGAAGAAGACGGTGGCTTTCCCCTCCTTGTTCCCCGAGCGGTGTCTCAGCCTCCGCCGCCCCGCCGGGCGGAGACCGCTCCGCTCGCTCGCCACAGAAGGAAAAGGGGATTTGAGGCGCGCTCGGCGCCCCACAGGTTTTGCGTTAATTGTGTTTGGTAGTTCTCTAATGAAATCTACCACTCAAGGAAACAGGGAAATCAGTTTGCTTTTCGCACGAAACATCGAATGCGTTTTAAGTAAACTGCTTAATTAAATTTAATTTGCAGTGAGGAGGGAATTGCAGATCCGGCGACGCAATTTGGTGGAAAAGGATCTGATTCCCAGGGCGGAAACTTAGCACTCCAGTGGGAGACAGAGGTTGGGTATCTATGCACATCGAGGGGCATCAAAGGAGAGCTTCGCCAGGAAAGTACTTACTTATTAAACTTTTAAACAAATGCGTGGCGTGTATCCAGTTGTGAGCCAATGTAAACACGGAGCCTGACAAATGCTTCTAGCAGCAGAGACGTGTAAAATAGGTTTACCTCAATTTTGTGATGCTGCTGCTTCTGTTTGTTTTGAAGCAGAAGGTTAGCAGCGGTGTTTTGCAAAAGCTGTGACTAAACTGTGACCTCTAACTCTCCGTATCCTTGCTTTAAGTAAACCGGAGGAAATGAAGAGCCCTGGTATTGTCTGAAAATATCCTCCTGTAGCTAAATATATCACTCGACTTGTATTGTCCAGCGGCTAATCACTTTACGTAAATACAGCTGTTTCACTCGACTCCCCAGCATCCTATTGATGCACGCTGTAGGTGCGCAAAAACCCGCGTTAACAAAATCACTTCTAAGTAAGAACCTGGAGAAAAACGGGAACTTCTCTCCGAGATAACCCAAGCGGCAAAGGTTAAGACATGCAAAGAAATGGGGGCTCGGTGGCGACTCCGCTCAGGTCGCCCTTTTTGCCCGAGGGGCCGATCCCCGCGGCTGGGGTCGGGGCGGGGGGCGCTTTCTGCGCCGCGGAGTTATTTGC